GTAAGTATTCGCGAGCGTATTTCCGCATCGTTGCTTGACTGTTAACGAAAATTAGGCATTTAAATCTGTCTGGAGATAATTCATCCAGATTAAATTTCTCACACTCACGGTTGACTTTACCGGCATGTGCGGCAAAATCTTCATTTTCGTCCTTAGTAAGGTTGATGCACTGCTAGTATGTATAAAACAGTGAATTCTTTTCACCAAAGATTTTTGATAATATCGTCACAGTATCGTTATATTATATATTTTTCATGTTTAGTAGGACAGAATTTTCGTAACAGAAGACGTACTTTCTTTTCATCCGACCATCCTTGACATTGTTCTTTGAAAACAGCCACGTACCTTCTGAAGCACGATAAGAATCTTTTTTTTTTTTTTTCTGAGACATAATTAAATTCACTAATTGAGTCTAACGTAAACGAAATTGACGCATTGACTGTTCCTTGCTTTCCTGAGATTGATCTTATCTGTTCTTGATATTCAATCCTCTCTCGTTGCATTTGTTGTAATAATGTCTTCTGGAATTCTTGCTGTTGCTTAATGTCTTCAATTCTTCCATGGTGTATTTTGTTCGTACCAAATAGTCCTTAAGTAGGAAGAAAAAGGTTTTGTTTTCCCTAATAGCCGTACATCACACAGCCTTGAAGTGTATCGACTTCCGCGTTATGCTATGAATATACACGAATTCCACAATTTTTTTTTTTTTTTTTTTTTTTTTCGTGAATTTTGAATTTCGCCAGTTATTTATATTAAGCGAGATGAAACAATATTTTTTCGTGTGAATCCGAATTCTCATCGCCACTGTTATATCTTCATTGCATTGAATGAAGATAACACAATCAAGAAGTAGGATGTCGCTTGGAGTCGACGTAGTCTTGCTGAAATAATAAGCAGATAAGCTGGATCTCTAACTCTCTACTTTTCTCTCCTTCTTCTTGGCGTCAGTCTCTTAAGTCCTCTTTTGGAGAGTTGTGTTCATCTCCACATCACATAATGAAATCGAGATTTTGTTTTCTCATGGAGGCGACTGGATTACTGAAAGTGGTCACAAGCCGCATGTTTATGCTTCTTGTAATAATCAAGTATTTTTACAACTATATAAAGAAAAATTCCTGAAGATGTTATTTCACTAAAATAAAAATTATGCAATATCAAGTGAACTTATTAAACATTCGTCTCGAATCTTACCAAAAGATAATTCAATAAAACTAAAATAATAATAATAATAATAATAATAATGATAATAATAATAATTTTATTTGAGGATCAGTGGTTGTATAATAAAACAGATTATTTTCTTTTGGAATGAACCAAAAAATCTACACTTAATATTTTTTTACAAAATGTTACTTGTAATTTTACAGTGCAATTTTGAAATTCACCCCATTGCTATCATCACAAGTTTCTTTTAAATAAAGACATGTCTAAATAGTAGAAAAAAATATTGTAGTTTAATGCTCTTTGCGAGCGTAAACCGTTTTTTTTTCCCTTTAAGCAACTGTTATATTATTATTTTTTGTATGAACGTACAAAATTGAAATAGTTATTATTTTAATCCTTTGGCCATTCTACTATGTTTCATTAAAACATAAAATAAAAAGTGTATTCTTAATTTTACGGACACAGTAAAAATAAAGGCCTCATTTGGATGACAATGAATAATTAGGAAAGAACTCGGTGAACGCAATTTTAATTATCAATACAATAGCTATTTATTTACCAATTTTACACATTTTTTTTGTTAGTAGCAACTCTGTTGATTTTCTTAAATTCAGAATTATTTTTTTAAATCACATTGCATGTAATTATATATTTTATGGCATGAAATATGTAAGAAAATAATCAACAAATAAAAGCAATGAGTAAAACTCAAAATTAAAAATCATTAAAAAATAACTACTTCTAATGCAGTATAAAAAACTTAATTTCACTAAGTTTAATAAAAGCGTATAGAATAAAAAAAATATTAGGTCCTAATATTTTTTTATTCTATACGCTTATTCAAGGTCATAATAGGACCTTGAATAAGTTCTCGCTGGTTTTTCATGAAAAGTAATGTTTCATTTACAAAAATTAGTAAGAAACATGTCACTGAAAGTATTGTCCATTGCTAGCCACTATTTCCCCCCATTTTCTGGCAGCTTTTAAATTTCACGTCGGAAAAACATCACGTCTTTTGAGGCTAACCGTGAGTCGACCCATTTTTTGGCATCTTCATAAGAATGAAAGTGCTGCTCAGCCAGGCCCTTTGTCATCGATCGAAACAAATGATAATCAGACGAGGCAATGTCCAGTGAATACGGCGGGAGGGCTAGGACTTCCCATTTAAGAGTTTCCAAGTAGGTTTTCACCCGTTTTGCAACATGTAGCGTTGTCATGTTGCAAAATCACTTAGTTGTGTCTCTGCTCGTGTAGCGGCCATTTTTTTCTTCAATGCTTGGCTCAAACGCATCAATTGTAGTCGATAGCGATCTCCTGTGATGGTTTCGGTCAGTTTGAGCAGCTCATATTAAACTACCCCCATCTGTTACCACCAATTCCAGAGCAGAAGCTTCGAACCATGGATATTCGGCTTTGACGCCGATGTTGATGCATGAACGGGATTACCCAACGATCATCTACGCTTAGAGTTATAGTGACTTAAGTGTATCCACGTTTCATCACCGGTTACGATACAATGTAAAAAACCTTTCCTTTCCTGCCATTGAAACACCTGTTCACACGTGACAAGATGCCGTTCGACATATCTCGGCTTCAACTTGTACGGAAAATGTTCTTGCTTTTGAATCACTCCAAATGCTTCAGACATTACGAAACTGTCGTGTGATCAACTCTTAATGATTCTGAAAGTTCAGCTTGCGCCTGACATGAATCTTCATGAAGTAATGTCTCCAATTCTTCGTCTTCAAACTTTCTCGGTGCACCAGAGCGTTCTTTATCTTCAACATCAAAATCATCTAAACCAATCTCTGCATGTTGTTTCCGACAGAGCATGGTAGCCGTAAATCTCAACAAGAATTCTGTGTGCCTCAACTGCAGATTTCTTTTCAATAAAGTAGTGTAGTAAAATTCCCCGTAAATACACTTTCTTTGGCACAAAATCCGAAATGTTTAACGCTGTGAAAAACGAAGTTGTTTACACTTCGGCGAAATGACATACACTGAATTTCAAACTTGCTTAAAGTACTTTCTTATAGATGCGTTACCATCTGAAACTAGACGCACGCAGTTCTATGGAACTGTTGGAGAACAGCGAGAACTTATTCAAGGTCCTAATACATTCTTAAACTTTATTTATTTTTAAACATAAATACCAATTTCCTGATTAATGCACTGTTGGTGTTTCGTATTTCTTTAATTTTTAATTTTCGCACTCTTTTTAAGTCAAATGTGCAGCAATTATACAGTTTTTATTTTTAACCTTTAACCCCACGTGTTACCGTGTGTAAATAAATGTTAAAACTCATTAAGTTTTAAATAAAAAGTGAACATTAATTTAATAAAATCCAGTTAATTAATCCTTAAGTTTAATAATGACTTCAAGATATTGGACAAATATTGGGTTTTTAAGATATTTTAAAATTTGTTGATTTAATAGATTTTTGTCTATAATGATGGTTCGATAAGTCAATGCGTAATACGTTAACGTGCCAATGTGTTAAAAGTGCCTACAAGCTTTAATTACACACGTTAATTAATTTTTCTTGTAATACGGATTAGCTTTAGGCTAGTATCTTTCAAATAGAACCCAAATTTAACTGCAAAGAAAATATTTACATTATTTAAAATGCATGTTTCGGATTTGAATATCTGTGGCGATACCTAATGATTTGGAAACTGTTGCTACCTATATTTATCCTATTCGGAATGATTTTACAATAGTCTACTGAAATGCGAGTTCTGCTGTGTGAAACGTCATTTACTGCGCTAACGTTCAGCGATTCACATGAGAAATGCCAATTTAGTGCTGTTGGCTTTCAAAGTTGAACACATCAAAAGAGATCTGTACTGATAACAACAAATAAATCATAAATAAGAGAAAAATGAAAATTTAAGTAATAAAATTACTTTAAAACATATCAATGTTATAAAATAAAATAAGACATATCTCGGCTGATTTACAGGCAAATACTCAAGAGCGAGAACCGGATGTGAACGGGACAAAGCCCCGTCACAAAATGACTTTCTTTACAAATGTTCCTGACACACGTGTTCCGGTCGAAAAATAAAATAATAATTAAAGTGCTCTATTTTTCGTCCAATAAAAATGCTTCCCTCCTAATTATACTCGCTTCATTTCTCGAGCCTGTTAAGCTATAAAAATCGCTATAAAAGGGGTCACACGGAAGTTCAACAGTCAGTCCACAGGTGCCCAGGATAGAGACCTGTCACGTCCAGCTGCTGACAGCAGGGGAGCGTCAACCACCGTCAACATGTGTGAACTCCTATGATAGATCGACCAGATCCGAAAGCCGGCTTATGAACTTTACCACAAGGTAGCTGTCCCAAACCCTCATGTCCCTGTTGAAATAAACCACGTAAATCTATTTCTACTGTTGTCGTATTTCTTTCTTGCAACCATACGCTTTTCTATAACATCAAGAATGATAATTAACAATAAAGAAAGACAAAATGGGATTATAAAATTAGTTAAATAAATATGAAAACGCCTATCGCGCACCGGAACAGGCGTTTTTATCGCCATTTGAAACAAATCAAATTTTCTCTCTTCATCTTCGACGGCCAAACCAAGAAATGTCCGGGAACAGCACTCTGACAGGCCATGTCGCTCCCACCAAATAAGCAAAACTTTCTATCTCTGTATACGTATATGTACTTTGAAATATACAATATTTTCTCTGAAACTTATGCGAAAGCCTTTTATTGTTTTTGTTTACGCTTATTGTGTGTATATGATTTGTTTGTAATTTATATATTACCCCACAACCCATAAACTAAATAACATATATATATTAAAAAAAATATGTATTATACAGAGAAAGCCGACGCATCACAGAACCACCCACAACAGCGCTATGACCGCCTATGTCCTGAAGGGAGATGGCATTTTGAAAGAAAATAAACAAAACAAAATAAACAATAAAATTCATTATTGATTTAGAATAAAATCTCATTTTTGAAGTGGCCTTATAAAAATCAATGTTTTCTTTCGCTTTTTTATTATTGATTGACTGTTAAAAAGTTATACTTCGTAACGACAATTGGCAATACACGCAATACATTTTTTTCTCTTTGTACAAGCTTTGAACAGCGACAAAGCTAATCTATTTTTGTATATAGACTTTTAGTTTTAAGTTCTTTACAAAATTTGTACACCAGACCTTGACAAATGTCCACTGTTTCGAGGAGGAAAGTTAAAATAATGAGATCAAAGTCCTCGCTCACACGTATCTTATATTACAATTACATGAATTAGAAAGCCTCGCAGTTTTCACCATGAAGTTTTTGTAATTTTGCTAGTTTGCAAAGGTCACAAAGTTAATTCTGGTAGGTAATAATTGCCTGTGCACGTGAATGTTTTCGTGTGTGTGTGCGTGTGCATGTGTGCGTGTGTGTGCGTGTAATTATTTATAATCATCCGATAAAAGATATGAAGTCTAAAGCTCAGTGACCTTAATAAAAGTTTAGATTTTTTTTTTGTCGTTCCTTTTTCCAAAATGAAGCTATTTGTGTTAACCCCACACCTTCCGCGGTGCTGAAGATGATAAGCTTTAGTTTAAAAGATTCCTATTTTATCATTTGATCCCCTCGGGAAACTAATAGATTTAAGCTAAAAAAAAAATGTTATTTTTCTATATTTTCTTCCTTGCGATATTTTATCTGATGATAAAAATAATAAACTGATGAATAAAAAAATTCAGCAGATAAATTACTATTCATAAAATATTCGGGTACTATATTCGTTGTGGTGTAATAATTGGCAAGCTTGTCTCGCTAAATCCATTACGACTGAGTAGTAACTTTGATCCTTAGTGGCTGCTCCATACTTACGGCCTTGTGTTGCATCAAAGCGACGCTTCGTAAATCGCTATTCATAAAGATTTTGGAACCTCTTCCATTTTGAGCCAAAAGAAAGCGATTCTGAATTCTACCACTTTACCCAAAATTAAAGAATAATAATGCAATGAATTTCGAAACCAAAAACAAAAGTGATAATTAATCAGGAATTTTAAGAATTTTTATTATAAAGTTAAAATACCTGCACCCCTGTTAGTAATAGTGGTGTTGGCCAAAAATGAGAAGTGTAAGGAAATAGAATAGACAAGGCAATATTTTTTTTTTTTTATAACTGAGTAAAAGAGAGAGAAAATACACGAGTATATATAGAAAAGAAAAGACATTAAAAGTTTGCAATAGGGGAAGAAGGTATACGTGTGTGACAATTCGGTCACTAAGGTTTAAGATATCCTCATGCACAGCAGAGGACCCCGGTGGGTGTTGTCGCTACAGTAAGATGGGCAAAAGTTGTTTTTTTTTAATCAATCTAACAGCTTGTTAGCGAAGCCAAGTGGGGAAATCGCATGACCCTTCCCCCACATTGGGAGAGAATTATTTTTGCCAATATGTCCATAACGTTCAAGGTTGTTCTGTCCTTCATAAGCTAAAAAAGATTTGAATGGTGTAAATGAGATGTGTTTAACATGCCGACGAAAATGTTCTTCTTTGAAGTACTGTGTTATTGGAGTACCACGTAATTTTGTGTGTCAGAATGTATCACAGTTTGAAGAATATTTTGGTAGTGTGTTTTTCGTGTGGAAAAAATCACTGCAAGAAAGTTCTGGAAAATGCAAGATGTAGTTATGAACAAGCAGTTCAGGCCAAGGTTGAAAAACAAATTGAATCCTGAGGGTTCTGGAAGATCTCCAACCAAATTCTGAATAGAGGCAAAGAGTCAGTGTCCCGAGATTATCTCTTCCTCGTCAGATAAGGTGAGGCTCTTTGCGTCAAAATCCACATCAGATGATATAGGATATCCCTTTCCTGGCTTCCTCTATCTCAATGAGCACGATCTCAGAGGTATTTTTATTAGAACCCAGGAAGTCTCAAAAGTTTTGACCCTAAGAAAGCCACTGGCCCAGGCAAAATCCCAGGGGTTGTCATTCAGTATATCAACAGGGAATTATCTCCGATCTTAGTGAAATTATTTAACTGCTCCTTGAAGGAGAAATCCTTCTCAAGTCTGTGGAAGGTGTCAAGAATATGCCCGGTTTTCAAGAACGTGGGTGAGAACCCATTCCCCTCTCAGTATAGACCCATCAGTCTCGTCAGTGTCATTAACAAGCTTTTTGAGGCTATAATTGATAAGAAGTTTGGTCACCTAAATAGGAACAACCTCTTGTGACAAGCAGTAGGGGTTTGGATCAACCCGATCCACCACTGATCTCCTAACTAGCATTATTCATAGAATCAGTGGAGCACTAGATAACAAATACATCTCAAGAACTATAGGATTAGATATTTTGAAGGCCTTTGACAAGGTATGACAAAGTTTTGCTGCACAATCTCTCTAGCTATGGAATCATTGGAAGGTTTTTTTTCTAATTACAAAGTCCTTTCTAATTGAAGGTAATTGTTAACAGCCAGTCCACTGGGTTCTAGCAATAAATGCAGGCATCCCTGAGGGGTAAATTCTTGGACCAATCCTCTTTTTACTTTACATAAATGATCTGCCTAAAAGTATACTCCCATTATTTGTGAATATCTATGCTGATGATATTAATGCTATATGGCTGCACCTCCAAAACTCTAGATGACCAGAGATTAGCAGCTGATCTATTCTCTGATCTAGTTCTAATAGCTTAATGGGGGAAAACTGTCTGATTATAGTCAATACCATGAAAATCAAACTAGTTACATTCCATCATTGCCAATTGGACCCTAAACTATCACCAGCCAGTCATGATGAATGGATGTTTCCTCAGGGAGATCTCATGCCTATTGGGCTTTAAACTCAATGCATACCCCAAGTGAAGCTTGTACATATAATACATCACTAAAGATGATGGGAAATTGATCAGTTCCCTGTACTGCTCCAGTAAGTACCTGACTCTTTGTGCTATCCTCTATCTTTACAAGAGTCAGATCAGGCCAAAAATGGTGCAATGTTGTCATATATGGGCAGAAGTAACCCAGTCTTCAATTTCCAGTCTTTCTTTCCAGTTCAAAAGTGTCTTGTGGGTGGTGAATTATTTTCCACCCTACAACCACTTTCTCACAGACAAAATGTTGCAAGTGTCTTGCTGCTCTGTCACTATTTTCATGGGAAGTGCTCAAACTACATACCTGAGTTCCACCAGTTTTCACTTTCATGGCTAAGACGTGTCATGCCAATCCCCATTGTACTGAACATTCTGCTCTCTCTCTCTCTCTCTCTTTCCTTTTGTATTCCATTTGTGAGATGTAAGTTCCACTCAAGCAGTTTCTTCCCACAAATCACTGCTCTGTGGCACCAACTCCCAATAGAATGTTTTAATCTTAACCTGTTCAAGTCTAAACAGTTATCTTCCCCATGTATCTGCTTAAACTGTGCCTCTTATGACCCTCTACCTCAAGTGATTCCTTGACCTTGTATACGGTGAACATCATTGCATTACAGTAAAAAAAAAAGAAAAAAAGAAAAGAGATTTCTGTTCGCATTTCAGGTATGTATTTCATAATTGTTATAGTATCTGACTGAGCATCTCATTGGTAGAGTAAGAGGTTCCCAGTTTATTCACTTCCACATTATTTTTGGTTGGGGAACTGAAATTTCTAACACAATTTAGGATTGCAAGGGATTTTACTTTCATTTAGATTTCTAAGTACACATTGGGTTTAGACATTTTAAAAATTGTTATTTTATTACCCACATCCACAGATAAGAATTCTACATATGGGGAAGAGCTGGTGACACCAGTACAATAACATAGAAAAAAAACTATCAAGGTGAACCAAAAATGAGAGAATTGCATTTAAACCACCAAAAGATTTTGCATTCTGAAGGCTTGAACAGTGGCCTGAATAGAAGGCAATGATTTTTACACTGTAGAACCACTTCTAAATTGGATCGGGATAGCCTCAATGTTGAAATCAGTGAACTCATATACTGTATGGGATCCTGAGCCTGAGCAAATATGGATCCTTCAACATTGATACAAACCTTGACCAACTGGATGATTCCTTTAATAAGTTCGATCAGAATTTGAACAATCATTTTAATCCAAAAGTTAACATTATATATGAAAAGACCATGTTTCACTAGTGAAACCAATAACCTTGTGAGAATATAGGTCAAACACTATAATAATGAATAGAAAAATTGTATTTAAAAGAAAAATCCTCTTGTAATGCTTAGTGTTACTCTGCCTCATTTCCTTGTTGAGCATTTACATTACACTATAGAATATCATAATAATTTTCTTGACTTTACAGATAATTGGCATAAAAATAAACTACTTGGATTTTCAATAGATAAAAGGAACATAGCTTTAAAAAAATGACTGGATGAGAGAAAGATTCATTTAAAAGCAAACTCTTCAATAAACAAGTTTAGTTTACCTAAGCAAGACAAATTTATTGCAAAATGTTTTTCCACCCTTACAAACAACAGCATTTAGAATTTGTTAAATAAAAGTTGATAAAATGGCAACTTTAATGGTGTAATGGTTAATGAGTTAGAACTAGTGAGTTCAGTCATCACAGGAAAAAAATTGTGTATCATCTCTACACTACATAACTTCAAAAACTGGAAGAACCTTGGTGAAATTATTTCATTACAAGAAAAGAATGACTGACCATCAAGCCTGGTATGAACTTGAATTTTATTTATCTAAAGAAAAAACATTATTAATCATCAGAAAATGAGATGAGGGACAATAATGTCAACAAATGTTGCAATATTTGATTACTTTGGTAAATGTTTGGAATGAAAAATTTGACATTTCACAAAATAAATGAAAAGTTATTTAGGTGCTAGCAATAGACATTTTGGGAAATTTGTAGAGTATCTAGTCCTTTTTTGATCCTATCACAAATGAAAT